AAGCATGGTTTAAGTTTGATGTTAGGAGACACTCCCTAACTGGCAGGGTGTTTGAGCAGCGATATAAATTGCCTAGGGAGGCTTTGGAATCTCCATCACTGAAGATTTTTAAGAACAGGTTAGAGAAATACATGTTTGGGATGGTTTAGGTAATACTAGTTCTCTCATGAGTGCAGGGGACAGGACTAGATGACCTCTTGAGATCCCTTCCAGTCCTGTGATTCTGTTGTACAAATAACTTGCCTTGAAGCAAACAAATGTTATTAGACTAGCATATCTCCTGGAATTAAGGATGTTAAATGGTTATCTGGCTAATCGTGTAGTCAATACAGTTTGTACCGACTATGCGAGTAGTCGATAAGGACCGCTCTGCAGAGCTTCAGTGGGGGTAGCTCCGGAAGCTGGCTCAAGCCGAGACTGAGCACTCCCAACTCGTTCCAGCTCCAGGAGCCACCTGCACTGTGGCTCTGCATTTTAAAAGTTGTAAGAGCTGCCGGGCTCTTAGTACATTTAATATGCAGAGGTGCAGCATCCGGGACCAGCATGAGCTAGGACAGCTTAGTCCCGGCTCTCAGTGGCCAGTCCTGGCCACCTTAAACAGGGGCTGCTGCCAGCTCAGCCTCTGTTCACAGCAGCTAAGGCTTCCTAGCTGGGACACCCACGGACAGAGGATGCTGCCGGAGCAGCCTCCCCTATTCCCCCACTGCTGCCTCTGATAGAGGCAGGGTGGTGGGGCAGGTAGCACCGCAGAGATTTAAGCCAGCTTCCCCCAGCACTGGCTCCTGTTCTTTCCCCGGCTGCCCCTTATAGAGGCAGCAAGGGGGCGGGGGAAGCAAGTAGTTGATACTCCAGTCGACTACTCAATAAGCTTGTGCTTATCGGGTAGTCGACTACTCGCTAACATCCCTACCTGGAATATGGGAGTTTGCTGATCAGTTCACCAGCAAGCTTTCTTAGACAATCCATTGAGTTCTCTGTTTCTGAGATGAAGTGTGAGTTGATGCCTTAGTCTTCTAGCATTTTTGCTGCTAAATTCTCATGATATATATTTTGAGGCACATGTCTACTGTCCTTCTAGAATGTACCTGGGATAGCCTGACACTTAATTTGCTTCAATGGGATATTAAGTGGCCTGCTAAGGAAGAATAGGGGTTATCCCCTCTTTACGTTTTTATACAGTCTGTAAGGAAGTCCTGAACATTTTTGGACAAAAATTATTTCTTGATGTTTTACATTGAGAATTGTCTGAAACGGTAAGGCTATTTCTGCAATGCAGATTAAGGAGTGATTGCAGCATGGGCTTAATTCAGCTTGCATGGGTAATAGCAGTGAAGATATGGCAGTGTGGATCCTGAAAGGGCTAGCAACTCAAGTGTGTACCTAGAATGCCTGGGAGGCTGAACTGGTGTGGCTAGCCTGTGCTGAAGCTCTTACCGTCATGTCCTCGCTACCTTTGTTGACCGCACCAGCTGGATTAGGATATGTCTACACTGCAAGCGTCTTTTGGAATAAGCTTTTCTGGAAGAGATCTTCTGGGAAAGCTTTTTTCGAAAGAGAGCATCCACATGCAGAAAGCGCAACGAAATAGTGGTGTGCTATTTTGAAAGATAGCATCCACACTGATTGGACACTCTCTCTCATTAAGGCCACCTGGAACTAGTTCAGGCAGAGCACTAGGTCATCATTTGCTTCCGGGTGCTGCCGCCTGAGGCTATCTGAGATGCATGTTTAAAGGGACTCCCCTGGGCAGCCGTTTCTCAGCTTCTTCTGCTTGCTTGCCTACCTCTCCGAGGGACAGCAAAGCATTTCCTCTGTCTGATCTGGTTGCCCTGCTTCTGGATACCTCAGCACACCTTGCTATGGAGCCGGAGTTGCCTCTGGGCACATGATGGCCCAATGCTGCAGTTTCTGCAGTTGTTTTTGCAGGTTGCCTTCATGGCCCTCTATGAGCTCAACTCTGAGCTCATCATTGAGAACCTCTGAAGTGTGTCTGGCCTCCCCAGGGCCTGTGAGCAGGAGCCCGGGGGTGCTCTGCGGCTGCCTCTTCGGGCTGCGTGGTGCAGACTGGCTGGCACTGCACGTACATCCAGGTGCATGGACCGCAGCATGAAGGCCAGGCCAAGAAAGCTGAGCGACGATCATACCACAGCTCCTCAGCGCCTGCCACCCCGTCCTGTGTGTGTGAAAAGCTAAGAGCACTCACTTGATGATCCCTCCCTGGCCTCAGAGGGTGTGTGGGAGACATCCAGACCCTGGGATACTGGCTCCAGGGTGATGGTGATGGCCGTTTCTTCCTCCTCCAGCTTCTCAACCTCCCCTTCGTGGGCTGGGACCTTCGGCCGGGCGATGACGGGTATCTCCAGCCCCAAGTCCACCACCAGAGGTGGGGACAGGGCTACATCGCCCATCAGGATGTGGTGAAGTTCTTCATAGTAGGGACAGGAGTGGCGTCCTGTCCCAGAGCCAGAGCTCCACTCCCTTGCCCTGGCATAGCCCTGCCGGAGCTCCTTCACTTTGCTTCAGACCTGCTCCAGAGTCCTGTGGTGGCCCCTCATGGCCAGGCTGTTGGCCATCAAGCCATATATATTGGCATTGCGCCGTCTAGAGTGGAAATCCTTGAGGGTATCCTCCTCGTCCCCTACCTCCAGGAAGACCAGGATCTCCAGACCAGCATATTGCACGCCTTTTCCATCCCCTGGCAGGTTCCTGGAAGCCCTGTGCATGCTCCCTGGGATAGGCAGACTCTTGTGGGGCTTGTGGCTGGGACATGGGTGCCCAGATGTGTGGCACTGGCAGCAGCCATGCTGTTTGGCAGCCTGCTGTGTGCTGCAGCTCCAGGGCCTGCTTCCTGCCACAGGCCCTGTCCCCGGTGTCTGCAGCTTTAAGAGCTGCTGGGAGACAGGAACTATAGAGTTGTGATGAGTGTGGACAGAGAGGCCAGCAGGGCACCTGTGTTGTTTCCTGGAGGCCTCTTTCGAAATAATTCCTTCTTCCGTGTCCACACACTCCTTTTTCCGAAAATCCCTTGTTCCTTGTAGAATGAGGTTTACTGCTGTCGGAAAAAGCCCTCTGTTATTTCGACTTTTATTGAAATAACACAGTTGCTGCGAGGATGCTAATATTGATTTTTCTGGAATAATGGCTGTTATTCTGGAAAAACACTGCAGGATAGATGTACCCTAAAGCTGACTTGGCTATGTCTGCTTGGGCTGCAATCTCACCATCGTTTGTGATGTAGATACACCCCTCGATGACTGAGTGGAGGACTAGTGAAAATAGGTGTCCAAGGGCAATTTTTGTCTTTAGAAATATCAGGAGTAGTGGAAAAGATTTTCAAAGTGAAAATCCATTGGGCAGAAACTGGTGAATTCTTTTAGGGTGAAGGGCTATTGTATGTCAGCAAGAAGTAGAAAAAAGGACAGTTCCAGTTTTAAAAAAGGAAAAAAAACCCTATGATTTTCAGGTCATCTTTAAAAGATGATGGCAGTACAGGAAGTATTGTTGAGAAGCAGTTAAAACTGTGCTTCAACACAGAGTACATTCTTATATAGTAGGTTATTATGTAAATGAATGCAATCTCAATTTAATACATTTATTTCCAGGTTGTCCTCATGAATACTCTTGTGGAGGATGTCCATGATCCTTTTTGCCTGTGTGGTGAGGGTGAGGGACGGACTGCCACTTTCAGCCTCCACGGATTTTCATCTCAACAAGGACTTTCTGGAATGCAGGAAGAGACTGAAGGCATTATCCTTAATTCTGGCACAGTATCCTGATAGAGGCACAGCAACAGGACGAGGCTTCAGCATACAGTAAGTTGCCAAGTTCATTTGATCTTAATTTGACAGAATTATTTATCTTGCTGGGACCTTAATGATTGGCTACCCTCTGTGTGTTTTACATCTAATGATAGAATTGCACATTGAACATGTGCTCCAGACATAACACAAACTTCCAGCATTATGTGAAAAATGAGTGTTTGAAAATGATCATGTAATATAAACTTTACTACTAATTTCCACCTGTCTTTTTGTTTCCAAATGGCATCTCTTCTCTCCTCCCTCTTCATGTTTGTGTTTCTCTCTTCTTTAGGAGAATGAAATTCTGTCTAAAGCATTTCTAAAACAGCTATCACTATAACAGTGAGATGCGTTTCTCTAATCTCAAATTCCTTATACGCAGTCATGTCATTTGTATTACTTTTAAATTGTACATTTAAAAAGGTAATCTTGTCAAGACAACGATATTGTAATAAAATAATCCTTACCGCAGTATACTCTTAAATTAGATTTTAAAGTGGTTTTTAAAGGCTCTTCAGTTTTTTTTTGTTTTTTTTAAACCTCCCTAAAATAATCCTTACCGCAGTATACTCTTTAAAATCTAATGTAAGTGGTTTTAAAGGCTCTTCAGTTTTTTTTTTTTAACCTCCCCTCATTCCACTTAGCTTGGTCTGCAGACGACTCAGGCCTGTTGATAATCAAATTTCACTTCCCATTGAATCATGGGAAGCTACTTTTTAAATAGGCTTAAGAACCAACCCAGGTCATTCATGAATGAAAGATAGCATCTGATGGCTGTTTTGGTTTCTATATAGGATAGAACTCAAGGTGGTGGGGGAGGAAGCCCCCTTCTTTGGGTCTGACCCATGTGAACCATCCGGACTGGTAAATGCCCACATCTGAGAAATAAAATGTCAAGGATCCTCCTCACGACCACATATTACAAAATGGCTTGTCCCTGTTCTGCAGCCCATATGTTTTCTTAGTTTACATAACAATCTATATTTCTTTTTTCATCACACTTCCCTCACTGGAGCAATCTTTGTGTGCTCATCTCCTTTAGGAACTTCTGAAAATCCAACTCCATCGCTGTTTCTATACTACATCCCTCTTTCAACAGAGGGATGTAAATTAGACACGTTGAAATTGCAAGTGAAGCGGGGATTTAAATACCCCATGCTTCATTTGCATAATCGTGCCCTGGTGCTATTTTGAAAAAATACCATATCGAAAGTAAAATCACGGTCTAGACACGGTTCTTTTGAAAACGGCAGGCTTTTTTGAAAGATCCTGTACTCTGAGTGAAGAATGAGTGTTGTGGCATACTTATCTGGAAAGGTACAGGATCTTTCGAAAAAGCCTGCTATTTTCAAAAGAACCACGTCTAGACTGCGGTTTTACTTTTGAAATGGAACTTTTTCAAAAGAGTTCCATGGCTCGATTATGCAAATGAAGTGCAAGATATTTAAATCCTCACTTCATTTGCAATTTCGATGTGTCTAATTTACATCCCTCTATCGAAAGAGGGATGTAGTCTAGACACAGCCCATGTGTCTGAATTTTAAATTGCTACCAACATTTTTGGATGGGACCAGTGATTATCTAGTATTGTCACTTGTACAACAGCTTGCAGTTCCTACTTAACATGGCAAGAGTTGCATGTTGAAAATACACTTCTAAAAAATAGTGCCAGTTATTTTACGCATAAATGTGCGTAAAATAGGATAAGAAATCACACTCTGAACAGGTCCATTTGGCTCATACTTACAACAGAAGATTTTTTGTATTGGAAGTTTCACACAACTTTCTTAGACACATCTGAAGTTTCCTCTTGTGTAGAATTGGTGAGACTCCTACCAATGGAATCCCATAACCTTTCCAGGTAAATATGCCACAACACGCACATGGGCTACAGTTAAATACGTAGCAGTTTAATAAGACCTGAGGAACAACAAAAATTCCCCTGCCAAGTGCAAGAAATATTGCCTCACGAAACTTAAATTGTAGATTGTTGGGTCTTAGGTATTCTAGACAGGAGTTTGAAGAACTGATTTTTTTTTTCCCCTTTAAACTGGCAAATACTTTCCTGTTTCATGTGCTGCGACTTATTGTCTGAAATCCATACACTAACATCTGCTTCCATTGCTAGAAGAAGCATAGCTTTAATTGATAAGAAAAATATAAATCTCATATTCTGGATGTTTGCAAAAAGGAATATTCATAAATTGTTTAATTTTATATCATCTGATTAGGTTTTGTTTAATAAGAGATCAGTGCTCACATCTGAGACTGCGTTCCTGGTTAGAGATTGTAAGAGCTGGTAGGGATGTAAAATCCCATTTAATTGGTTAACGCCCCCCCCATTACTGATTAAACAGTAGAAGGGTGGGAGGGGGGCAGGGGTCTGGGTCTGCCATGGACAGGGGCTGCTCTGGTCTGGCTGGCATGCCCCTGTCTGCAGCATGCCCTGTGGGGAGCTGCTCCAGCTAAGGATGTTAAGTATCGACTAATTGAATAGTCAATGCATTTTGCAGCCGTGTGCAGCCAGGGACACGCCAGCTGGCCTAAAGCAGCAGCGGTACTTGGAGCCTGGGGTCTGGACCCAGGCTTCAAGCAGCGCTGCCTCTGTGAAATACTCTCCCTTTCCCCCCCACTATCAGATAGACAACAAGAGGGGGAAGCTACTAGTCGACTATCCCATAAGCATTTGCGTATCGGATAGTCGACTAGTCCTTCACATCCCTAGGTCCAGCCCCCGTCAATTAACCAGTTAACCTTTCACATCCCTAGTTATCGGAGACCTGTGCCATAAGTATTACAGTATATGTGTATAATTAATTTTTGTGGCATGGAGAGAGGCTATAAATTTAGATTGAATGAATTTGAGAGAAGAAAGATTTGAGTTTGAATTGGTTTTCCTTCAAAGCCGGTGTTATAAGGCATGAATTTCATGTTGTATATAATCTGCAGCATTATCAGTGTGATAGCTTTAGGTCTAGTACCCTTTGTAGGGAAGGGATCGTAAACTGGTATGGGTGATAATGGCTTAAAATAAATGGCTAATACAGAGATTGGCATTTTAATCACAAGTACAACTGGGATGAAAAACAGATGTTGTTTTTCTTCTAGGGATGTTAAATTGCGGTTAGTAAGCTAATAGAGTAGTTGCTGGAATTTCGGGGCTAGCTCCCAGGGCGACGCGAGTCGGGACTGAGCAGTTCTGACTTGTGCTGCTTCCGGGACCACTGCAGCTCTGCTTCTTAAATATAGTAAGAACCGCCAGCAGCAAGGGCGGAGGGAGGGAAGTGACTAGTCGAGTAGTGACTCGAGTAGTCCTCTTCCCCAACAAATGCAGCCAAGATAAAAATATTTTAAACAGACTGTACAGTCTGTTATGTCCAGCGTAACTCTTCTACCTCTTTATTGTGATTTAAATGGATGTTTTCTTTTCAGTTTTCATTCTTCTGGGGACATCGCCTGCATGGGTATCTGCTCCAGCAGTTACCCAACCGTCATGGCATTTTGCTTCTTGGAGGAGCTGCACTGGAAATTTTCTGCTTCATATGACACTACGAGCACAAGCTTGGCTACCAGACCCTATGCTTTTCTTGAATTTGGTTTGTAAATTTACTGTCAGAATCTTTTGTTCAGAACATCGTACAGGAAGTCTGCAACTTACAAATGGGTTATGTTCCAAAAGTTCCTATAGAAACAATGTTATAAATGGTAGTTAGGTTCCTAGGCTAGCCCATAAAAGCATGTTTAGCTCGTAATGTAGCTGAAATACTGTATATTTGCAATGGAAAATACTAGAAAATGTGTGGGGGGTTTTTTTTTTTTTGGCTTTTTTTTTTTTTTAAACTTAACCTTGAATGCTGATGCTTGAGGAAAGGTAGGTTTTATTAGAGGAGGATGGGGGGGCGGGGGGTAGGTGGAGATTCTGAAAGGGATTTCTGGACATCCCCAGGCTGCTATCCCATGCAGACTCTGTTCAGGCTACTGCAGTAAGCCCATTCCCCACTCATGCCACTGGTCTCTCCCCACCCCCGAGCAGGCTTCATCTAGGTCCCGCTCACCAGGAGGTGGTGTGTGATGCAAGTGTGAGCTGGCGGACTCCTAATGAGCAGGGTTTCTCCTTCAAAGTGCTGCTGCTCTCCAGCCACTGGCTGCATGACTGCTTCCTGCTTCTCCAGAGTCCTCTGGCCAGCGCTTGCAGTGCTCACCATCACCTGTGTCTCTTGCCTGATCCCCTGAGACCAGGGCCATCTTTACCCATACACACAATATGCAACTGTGTAGGGCATCAGAAAATTTGAGGCATTATTGGGTCTTAATGTCCAGCCACCTCTTCCAATCCTGTTCTGTGGCTCTGCTTCTTAAAAGTGAAAAAGCCCGACACTGGCTCTGCTTCTTAAAAGTGAAAAAGCCCAACAAACCTATTAGCAGAACATTGAACCTGTAAAAGAGCTATTCAAGTGGTAATGAAGTCCTTTAATGGGCATTTGCCAACCCTGGGTATATACTGTTAATTGGGCATAGGGGCAGTAGTTTAATAGTACTGCTTAGTGCCCCATAAAATATTACGACATCACCTGTGGCCTGAGGCAGGGAGGTTTTGTTTGTATATGCAGTAATTTGGGGAGTGCCTATATTTCTGGTGAGTAATTAAACTAATAGACAGGTTGGTAACGATAAGGAGCTGTGTTAATTCCTAATCATACGAGGTGGCTTTGTGTGGCAGGAGAACAGTGTAGGAAAAACATTCAAATAGTAATATGAAAGAGTAGATTATTATTGTGGTATTTCCAGGAGTCCTCATCATAGACCTGGGCCGCATTGTGCGAAGTACAGTACAAAGACATAAAAAAAGACAGACTCTGCCCCAAAAAGTTTACAATCGAAGTATAAGATGGGACAGAGGAGACAAGATGGGCATAGAAAACAGTGAGATGAGGCAGGTCAGTGTGAAAGGCCATTTCACTTCCCACATAGCTTAGGTTCCTGTAGAACTTTGTGATCATATAGGGTGTCCTTGCTCACCTGTGATTCCTGACATACACACTTATTTTTCACCTACCCGCTACAGCCCCATATGAACATCACATACATGACAACCTCTGTAGGATTAGTTCCATTAGTGAGATGTTTATACCCTGTGAAGGGTGATGTGGTGCAGTGGGTTAATACACTAGCAGTCAGCTCTGAACAAGAGAGTTCAGATCCTGCTTAGAAGAGACTTATTTTAGGGAAAAGACAGTATGCAGCAGTTCTTGCATTGTGAATGAACTGACTGCCAGCCACATTCTAATTTCCTCATAAAGCTGTGTTGAAATTTTGCATTTTGCTCTGTATTTTGGCTAGGGATTTCTTGCATTTTGCTCTGTATTTTGGCTAGGGATTTCTAGCTTATTTTAATCACCTATTGGCCATGTACTAAGAAAACAAAAGTGTAGGTTCCTTGCACTTTTCATTTTAGTATCTTGTTTCCCCCTCCTCTGATACTGTTGTATAGTCTTTTGTGCATTCTCCTAGATCTAAGTTGCACTGAATATATTTAACTTAAAGATTTTTTTTGCTTGACTTAAAAAACCTTGTTTCCCCCTCCTCTGATACTGTTGACTTAAAAAAACAGATCTTTCTAAATACACTTCTGCATTTCATTTGCTTCATTACTCATGATTACTATAAAAAGTAATATAATGAAACCTCCATCTGTCAAAGCTTAGATATAAGCAAATAAGCTAGGCTAAAGAACAGTGAGCAATATCCATAATGGGGAGCTTGGACTCTGGAGATGTGGGTGATTGTTACTGAGATGATATTTGGTTATAGCTTTAGTGCTCTGCAACTTGACTCAAACCTGTGAAGAGGGGTGTTTTTCTATGAGACCCCTGTTAGATGTTATAACTTGTCTGAATCATAGCCTCTGGAAAATCTCTGTGCAGCATGGTGAGGGAAGCTGTTGCTGCTACCAGTTTGAATTGTAGGTCCCTTCTGGCACTGTAAAACAAAAGCCCCTGGCACTGTTTAAAACATAATTCTGTCTTGCAGAGTAGATAGGACATAACAGACTTCCTTGTGATATAGACCTTTTTAAACCTTGGTTAGGTCCCAACTACAGGTTAAACCTCTCTTGTCTGGTCTATTTGGTCTGGCAACATCCAAAGGCCAGCAGACCATGGATATTGCTGGACCAGAGGGCTGTGTGGCCATGGGGGTGGCCGCAGCAGCCCTAGTGGCTTTGGGGCAGTAGTGCCCCGGCGGGCCTAGGGAGCGGAGCTATGGCTGCCATGGCAGCCCCAAGCCATGGCTGCCCTGGAGCTGGGAAGCTGCAGTGGCCCTTGGATAACGGGGCCCAGGAGCCCTGGGGAAAAGAGCCTTGGTGGACCCAGAGCCGCAGCAGCCCTGGCACCCTGGAGCTGTGGCAGTTTTGGTGCCCAAGAGCCACAGCAGCCCCAGTGGTCCTGGGGCTGCAGAACCGCAGCAGCCCTGGGACAGCGGAGTCCCAGCAATCCCTGGGCATTGGAACTGCAGCAGTCCTGGGGTGAGCAGAGCCTGATGGTCCCGGAGCAGCAGAGCTGCAGTGGCAAGGACTGGCCAGCGCAGCTGTGAGCCGGCCTGGAGGCAAGCGAGTACCATTAGGTCTGATGACGGACCTCGGGAGAACTCAGAGTTCCAGTAGCAGAAGGAGGGAATTGACCTCCCCTGGTCTGGAAAACTTTCTCATTCGGGATCAGTTAGGTCCCGAGCATGCAGGATCAGGGAGGTCCAACCTGTACTGTGCAGTGTAAAGCTGTGTGTTACACATACCCTACCCCACATATGCTTATGTGGTGTTACAGAATTCAGAAGTGATACATATTTTACACAACAAAGTATTTAACCCAACAAATAAAGAATAAAATTTTAGATATGATACAATTAAGGTTAAAAAAATGGGATAGGATGGTTCAGCATATCAGTTAGCTCATTAACAATTAAATGTTTTAGTTAAAATATTTCTTATACTCTCTTTTAGATAATGTAATTCAGAAAGTGAAATACCATTTCAACTACACAAGCTGCTCTCAAATGAAGAACAACTTGGAGAAAATTCAGGAAGACCTGAAGTTCCATCCTCCTGTGCTTCTGAAACTAGAGGATACAGAGCTGATGAATGGGATGATTAACGGGCACATAGAAGTGCACGTGGGGTCCGGTAAGTTATTGCTATGCAGAGTTTTAATACAGGTTTCTTCTGATAACTACATTTAACTTAACAACAAACAGTTAAAAATCCCAGTTGTTTTCTCTGAAATGAAAAACCCAAGTAAATATATATAATCTCAGACAAATAGTTCTTGTTCAAGGTTAGTTTTTTCATCATGATGAAAAGAACATAAACTCTTGTGTTAATCTTTAACCATAAATAATTTTCTCTGTGGAAGTTGGTTATAACTGGAATCACAAATTGCACATTTCCCTTCATTTAAGCAAGTTGAGGCTTTAGTTTTCTTTGAGAGAGCTTCATTTATGTCATGTGTTCCATAAACAAAGACCCAAAATATACTTCCAGCCTAGAGGACTTATTTATCTCAAGGAAGAAAATGATCCAAAGAATAAATCTCTCTGAGACTATGGGTGATGTCTCACTTATGAATCCATCTTGAATTGTTTCATGGTACATCTCATTTTTCTGGCTATTGGGGATGAGGGAAGATAACAGCTTACCTTGCTGTACATAAAAACCAGAATTAATGCTCTCCTACAGTTATAATAAACATCTGCATAAAAACAGCACATTGAGAGGTTTCACTTAGTGTTTGTTGTACAATGTTAGTTGAAACAAAGTGACACATTTTAAAGTATTGTATTATATGCAAAATTGATGTAAAAATGGCACATTACTTAAGTCTGTTCCCCTTTTGTATCTAGTCATCACTGCTTAATTTACTGAATAAAACATGACTATTATTTAATCATGTTATCTCATGGCAGCATTAATGTCAGGGAACCATATTTTTTTTTGTGGCTTATGAATCTCCAACAAAATCAAATTCCAGATGTACAGTCTTATTGTTGGGGATGGGCAGCTCAGAATACAACTTGACTTGCCTGTTTCAGGGTGAATCTGTAGGGCGTTTTTGATTTGTTTGGCAAGATATGTTACTAATCAGTTTTCAGAATTGCACTTTACGGGACAGTATCCCATGACTGGGGCCCTACCGGGGTGACCAGCATTCCTTAAATTCTTGTTTTCACCCAAAAGGGAGTTGCCAGGGCTCACAAGGCTATTTTAGAGGTTTTAGGGTATTGCTGCCCTTACTTCTGCCTTCAGAGCTGGGCAGCCGGACAGGGGCCAGGTGCCCAGTTCTGCAGCCAGTAGCGCAGAAGTGAGAGTGGCAGTACTGTACCATGCTGTCCTTACTTCTCCACTGCTGCAGGCAACTCTGCCTTCAGAGCTTTGATCCCAGCCAGCAGCCATTGCTCTCTAAGGGTATGTCTACACTACAGCACTAATTCGAACTAACTTAATTCAAATTAGTTAATTTGAAATAAGCTAATTCGAACTAGTGCATCTAGACCTAAAAACTAGTTCAAATTAGCATTTTGCTAATTCGAACTAGCATGTCCACATTGAGTGGACCCTGAACCCGGGGTTAAGGGATCCCAGCCAGCAGCCATTGCTCTCTAAGGGTATGTCTACACTACAGCACTAATTCGAACTAACTTAATTCAAATTAGTTAATTTGAAATAAGCTAATTCGAACTAGTGCATCTAGACCTAAAAACTAGTTCAAATTAGCATTTTGCTAATTCGAACTAGCATGTCCACATTGAGTGGACCCTGAACCCGGGGTTAAGGATGGCCAGAAGCAGTGCCGGCAGGGCAGCAGATTAGGACTTAGAGCGTGGAGCTGCTGTCTCAGGATAGCCGAGGGCTGTGCTTAAAGGGACCGGACCCCCACCCCGGACACACAGTTCTCAGGTTTTCCCGCTCGCTTGTCTAACTCGATGAGGGACAGTAAAGCAGTCCTGGCTTGGGGTGCCCTGAGTGCCCACCCCTGGCACATCACAGC